TTGACAATGAGACTCCCAAAATTGTATCAGTGAATTTCTACTCACAGTTAAACTAAAAATAAATCTGCATTTAAGTGAAATTTGCCTGCTTTTTATATTTTTAATACTTTTTCGCAAGAGCCTGTTTATTTACTGAATAGGCATACCCAAGTGAGCTATGAAACTATTAAATGTCTGAAAATATAAAAACAAAGTCTCATTAAAAACAAAAAATGTGAAGTAGCAGCCCACATAGAGGAAGTGCAGCACATCTGAAATACTGCACTAACTACCTACATAGCATGGAGATTATATCCAATAGTTTTTTTGCGTAAATCGTGAATATACAGACAGAAGAAAGACATTTAGTCCCATGGACTTGTTTTTTCCAAGAAATATTAGAATTACAGACACGCTTTTCAACAAATTTATTATATAGATTGAAATTTTACAAAATTTTTGATTAGCTATCTACATTCTCTCGTACTAAAAGGTGGAATTTGTGTGACTTATTCAATGCAAAATTATGGAACGGATGCCGGCACTTCAAACTAAAACACAAAACTAATTGCATGCAATTTTTTTTATTTCTCTCGTTTCGTAAAACTTTTCCATAATACCACTGTATTAATTGTACACATGATTAGCTAACCAGAGTGACCAACATAGCCCAACGGATTAGTAAGCTGAGGTGGCAATGGGCCGGCCATATAGCCCGAAGAACCGACAACCGTTGGGGAAAAAAGATTCTCGAGTGGCAGCCTCGTGCCTGTAGACGAAGTGTAGGGCGACCCCCACTAGATGGAGTGACGACCTGGTAAGACATGCAGGAAGTCGATGGATGCTGGTGGCTCAGGACCGTGCTTTGTGGCATACCTTGGGAGAGGCCTATGTTCAGCAGTGGACTTGTAAAGGGCTGTAATGATGATGATGATGATGATTAGCTAAAAATAAATAGACAAACTTTTTACACTAATTCTAAACATAGTTATTCTTTACTGGCTGGTCACGTAATTAAGAACGATAAATAATTTCTACCTTTATTCAAATTTAAATAGAGAACACTCAGTTGATTTGTTACTGTTTTTATAATTTTAGCGCCATTTAGTGCTGTAAAAGATTGAAAGTGATTGCTTCTTAGGAAAAAACAATGGGAAAAAATAAAAGTTGTGATAAATCTACAAGGGAGGTAATAATAAAACTTCGCCGGAAAAATTGGTCTTATAAAAAGATAGCCGACCACCTGCAACATTCAAAAACTATGGTTTTCCACGCTGTAAAGCATTTTGTTACGTATCAACTATTCGAAGTTACGTGTACCTAAACAGAGAAAAACAACTCCTCGAGATGACCGAAACATCGTTCGTATAACAAAACAAAATCCTTTTAATGGATCTATTGAGCTGAGAAAAGAATATTTTGGGGAAAACAACCCTTCAGCAATTTCAGCACGCACTATTCGAAGACGTTTGGTAAAAGAAAAATTGCACGGTAGGATAGCAAGATAGGTGCGAAAAAGTATGTAAACTGGACTTTGCGACAGTGGAAAAATGTACTTTTTTTCTGACGAGACGAAAATAAACAGAGTATGTTCTGATAGAAAACGATATGTACGACATCCCCCGAATACAGCATTCAAACCTTAAGTACACGACAGTTACTTTAAAGCACGGTGGTGGAAATTTGAAAATCTGGGGGGTGCTTTTCTGGATACGGTGTTGGACCTGTAAAGTTGATAGAAGGTAACATGGATCAGTTCCAATACAAAAATATACTGGAAGAAACAATGTTACCCTATGCTGAAGACGTTCTACCGGTTATTTGGACGTTTCAGCATGACAATGATCCAAAGCACACTGCACGCACCGTAAAGGAATTTCTTACAGCGCAATCAGTTTCTGTCTTAGACTGGCCAGCTAACAGCCCAGTAAGCCCAATAGAGAATCTGTGGTTCGAAGTAAAGAAAAAGGTTTCGATGACGTTTTTTTAGAAGAATGGAACTCTATTTCTCCTGCTAAATGTCAAAAATTAATAGAGTCAATGCCTCGCAAAAGAGAGCCCGAGAACCCAATAAAAAACGGTGTAAAGCTGTAATTAAAAGCCGTGGATATGCTACTGAGTATTATTTTTGGTTAAAAACCTATTAAATTGCTTTTTAAATTTTCCGCGGAACATATTATTGTGATTTTTTAAATTAAGTGTCATACAAAACAATTTCCGAGCAGTTTAATTAATCCTTCTTAATTATTTGTCCAGTTTCAGTATTATTTGAATGAGTTACTTTTGTAAAATAAATAAAATGTGAAAAAAAGATAGCGATTTTATTTTTTATTCCTAAGCCACGTTGCTCTACTAATGTGGCTATTTTATAACATAACTAGTTGCTTCTCAGAAGGTGCACGACTACGACATGATTTAAATAAAAAACTTCTAAAGCTTAAAATCGTTCTAAATTATGTGACCACAACTATAAGTACTGCGTAGTACATATATATCGAGCGGCACTCCAGTGCTCTACTTATCCTGACGTAGTATGTTTTTATGTGGCTTGCCAGAAACAATTACAGTTATTATTTAAAATCAATTGGTAGCAACCAAACAAACCTCACAAAACAAACGAAACCTGCATGTTTGAGAAATAAAATATTTTGAGGATATCTGAAGTACGCCAACACGCACTAAAATTTAAAAAAATAGCTTATTATTGCTTTAGCATCTGGGAAATGTGCCCCACTGTGGGACCTTATAGGATGTAGCGTCTCTTTACATACTTAGTCATATGTCTTGTATTGTTCTATTTGAATGATCCAAATCAAAATGTCCCTAACTCCACTTAGGGATTTTATGCACTAGCATCACAGCCAGTTAAGCTCTTCATTTTCTATGGTTTAGTCATTAGTGTATTTGTTTAATTTTTAACACATCCCTACTGTTTTTTTTAAAACACCATTAAACTCTTAGTCCAGTGATTTGATTTTAAGAAATCTCTATGTCCATAAAGTCCCTAGGTATAAGTAGTATTTCACAGAATACCAGCGTAAAATAGCAGCTTAATGCTGCTGTGTTTCAAATGGTGAGGTGAGGTGAGAGGTGAGGAAGAGAATCGGAGACCCTTTTTACTGGAAACGAGGCATTCCATCTCAGTCCTCAGAGCTGGTAACATATCTGCATTTTGATTCTTAATTGAAATAAATGCAGATGTCTATGGTTCACAGCTTCCACTTACCATCATGTGGACTGTGTGCTTATTTGTCACTTATTCTATAAAAAATCTATAGAATTAAAAAAAATGTTTTAGAGATATAAATAATGAGAGATAAATATGACTAAAAACTACATTTATGAAATATAAAAAGGGTAAAAAATTATACTACCACAACAAAACTAAAAGGAATATTTTTGGAAAATAAATTAATAAGTTATATATTTAATGAAATAGAGCAACTTCACGTGCGATCTCGAACGTATTTATGCACGGGGGAGAGCGCCCCCCTCTAATGGCTGGGAATGTAAAACAGCACAGCTAGACGGAAGCCTTAAGTAAAATTTTTAATATTTTAGTTCTAGAGAAGGAATGGTACCTACCGATAAAAATAAAAGGTTTTTTGTCTTTGAGATATTTTACCAATATTAGGCTGATCAATAATAATGTGAAAAATCTTAGTCCTAATGTTTATTTACTACAATCCTTAACTCCAACTGAAAATCCCTAAATCCCACTTAAAAATCAAAAGTCCTAAAGGTTTTGTCCTAACCATATTTTTAGTGCTATTCTCCCATTAACATTAAATATTTTAGATTTATCAGACATTATTTTTAAAGAACTCCCAAAATATTATTTCTTGATAACCATTCCTATTTTAAATTTTTTACAATATCGTTTTAAGGACCAAAATAAAAGTTTATGTGCAAAAATTCCAAAGTAGAAAAAAGTACTTAGGGACTTCTTGAACTTTGCCATTTATTTCTTCTTCAGCCTGTAACATTTATTTTCCTGATAAGAAAGGGTATAAGAAAACTTACGAGTAGTAAAAAATGTCTCCCATGTTTGACTTTGTCGTATTGCACATTCCCGTATACATATTTGACACTACTTTAGAAGTCCTCGAGTAATAAATATCAGCACATAAATGAGCTCTAAATATGAGCCTATTCTTTTGTAGGAAGAAATTGGGAGGCGGATTAATGAACGCAGTAGCAGATAACTTGTATTTTCGATACTGTTTCTCGTCATCGGTCTGGTAATTTTAGGCCTGGAATAATAAGATGGCTATACTGTTCCCAAGAACGAAAATGAACGCGTAACATCACCATAGTCGCCCCTTGCGACCCCCACGGGACGAAACGGGGTGATGGATTTTATTACGCCCTTATCACATGGCATGTGTTCTAAGCGGTAATAATATTTTTAAGCATCATGGACTTCATCAATAATGAAAAACTTTATTTTTCAGTATTATTTTATCAGCTGCTCTGCTTACTGCTAGACATGGGCATGGAAAGAATTGTATTGTAATTATAAATTATAATCATCACCTAAGACCAGATCTTTTCTTATCATATCATAGTTGTGTCTTACGTTAACCACTATTTGAAATGGGCTGATGAGTTCTGGAACAGTATCATTAAATCTTAACATATGATTAAATTGCAGTTTTTTTAGAAGTTTCTCTCTTCTCAATAGTAAAGTAGCAATGATGAATCAATCAAGGTCTTTAAAAAAAAAACAAATAACATTCGATATTTATATAATTCAGCACATTATCAAAGCCATAATTGACCACATCGTTTGAACACCAACAAGCACGCCATTTAGGTAGCATTATCATTTACACGCTACATAAAATTTGTAAAAAATATTAAGAATTTTCATAAATACTTAAAGAATACATTCAATTGTATGCTTAGTATAAATATACTAGTTAATAATATATTCTTATAAATAATAAACGCTTTACCATAATAACTTAAAGCTTGAACTTGTCACTCTAAACGCCGGGGAAGTCCCGGTTATTTCCGTGTCAGCTGTGTTCCGAACCGACGCTGCGGACCCTTCGTAAAAACTCCTCAACTTTCTTATAAGGACTTTGACATCTACCTTGATTAGAGTCTATGAGGTATAAATTGTTCTCTTCGCCTTCAGACAAATGACGCCCACTGGAATTGTTTACGACAGTTTTATCCAGAAACGGTTCCATGTCAGGAACAACCGTAACAGGTTTTGCTAGGGACTTGTTCGCATCTTGGTTGCCCGTCCCTTCTGCTTGTCTCTGGCGCAACCAAACTGGAGAGTTCACGTAAATTCTCGGTCTTTCCCTCAAAGCATTACACCGTTCTAAAGCAGGTCTTCTTACTGGCATGGGCGGTCTGTAAGCCGCCGGTAACGGTACGCCTCTTCCAATAATATTACAAATCAGACCTTTTAATGCAGCCCTAAAATCTTTAAGGTGATATGCATATAATAACGGATTCATAGCTGAATTTAAATGAGAAAATATTATACAAAAATAGGTGAGCGGGTTGGGAATGTCTAGTTCTGGGAGGAATGCTTTTATAGCGTTTATCGTGTATAGTGGAATCCAACAAACTATGAAAAAGAAGACAATGATGGCGAGGTTCCGGGTCGCCTTGACTTCACGTTTTTGAGCGGCTCCTAGAACTCTGAGCATCGTACCGCTAGTGTTGCGACCATGGCCTCCTTCTACCGTTACTACGGCGCTCATCTGAAAATACATACATTTATTTTTATATGTTAGCTTCACAGAAATCTAAATAATAAGGCAATAATTTATATTTAGATTTATGTGGTTAGCTTAGTACATTGAAATTTGTTTGCCAGTTTAAGGCTATTTTAGTCGGTTACTGACTTTTTGTTTTATGTTTATAGAATAAAGGTGACAAACGAGCACATAGTCTACCTGATGGTAAATACATGTTGTGGCCCATAGACATCTACATTTATCCTCAATTAAGAATCAAATGCGTTGTCACCCCAGAGGACTAAGATAGAATGCGTCTATTCCAGTAAAAAGGGTCTCCGGTTTTCTACGCAAACCATACGAAACACAGCACCATTAAGCTACTATATCACGCCGGTTACCCGTGAGAGTGTTCCTTCTCCGATCGAGAGAACCTAACCGTATTAGTGTTACATTTAATTAGCTACAGCATGGCTCTACCACGTGTAATATGGCCTTTGACTTGCAAATTACTGTACGATAGTTTAATCAGTTGATGGAGCCGTCCATGGATCCGCTGATGGACGGCTAGCCCTTTAGTTAAACGCTAGCGTTAATTGAAATTGAATGAGAAAAGGATGCTTAACAAAATTGTTTCACGAAACATTTAATAAACAAAAGCCGAATGAGAATCAGGCAATGTTCAGCCCACTTTAATACGTGGTAGAGCTACGCTGCGGGTACATTATGATTGTAGAACAAATGGGTCGGCTCGACCAGGGAAGGACCACGCTCTCACAGAATACCAACTTAATACTGCTGTGTTTCATATGGTGAGTGTAGAGATCTGGAGACCCTTTTTTACTGGAAACGAGACATTACATCTAAGTCCTCAGGGATGACAACGCATCTGCATTTAGATTCTTAATCGAGGATAACCGTAGATGTCTATGGGCCACAGCATCCACTTACCATCAGGTGGACTGTGAACTCGTTTGTTACCCTTATTCTATAAAAAAAAGCCATCTATAACAAGTGTGTGCACGTGGGTTTCACTTTGCATCGTCACTCTAGCCGCAACTCTGATCATTTAGTTTATGGCGGTAACAGCGGTACTCACAAACCACTCGCATTATTTCAGTTAATGTCCTGAGGCTTAGACTTGCCCTTATCACGCGGTTATCAGTAGTCGAGCAATACCTAACATCAAAACATTGTTTATCATCTACCCACCACCCGTGAGTATATCAGAATCTGCTCACATCGTACGCTCAACATGCTTTCATATTTTTTTTTAAAACTAAGGTGACAAACTAACTTATAATCCACCTCATGGTAAGTGGTTACAGTAGATGCAACCAATTTCTAATGAAAAAGGCTACAGATGAGTATAACCCGTAATTATACTGGCGCTCTACTGAACGATCTTTTTTACCTACAGGAAATAATAGGGTGTAACATGTGAACGGAGTAGAAGATGTTGAAGTAAACGTTTGAATAGTTTTTTTGAACAATTACTTTGGCCTTTGCTCTTGAGTCAATGATGCCTACTGAATTAATTGTATTATTGGCGTTCGTAAAGTAAGTAAGGTGGATATGATTTTAATTTCGATAGATTTTAACTTATTTAATTCAAAATTTATGTTTTTATATTTTATAAAATATCTGTGCCATAGGCTTCTACTCCGTTCACATGTTACACCCTTTTTTTTCCAGACGGTAAAAAAGTCACCAGTATACTCTTCAGCACGGAACAACAGTGCGACACAGTTTGGTGGCAGCAATCGTTAAGAGATTGGTATACATTGTACATTGAGCTATTACTACTACGTATAGTACCTAATATAGTTCGATGTACATATAGCTACACAGACGGATTCCTGTACATAACAGCAGTCCTATAGCTTTTTTTTTTCGAATTTCTTTACCGTTACTATTTTGTAGTTTATTTAGTATTTTATGGCTATAATTGCGATAATTTTTATAATTTCTAAACAAATATTATATTCTTAAAATCACTGAGGAATCGGATTGTTTTCTGATGCAAGGTTTCATTCACATCGCACGTTACGCGACATAACTCTGAATTCCATTTACATCACAAGACGGTTGGCGGCCCGACACTATGCGTGTTTTCAGTTTTCTGCCTCACAAGACAGAGGTTTAGGGATTTTCAAAATTACAGTATAGGAATTAACCCTAAACGGCCGACAACGCCCTCGTAATTGATCCGTTGTTGTACATGTCCATGAGCAATTCAGCAATCAATTACCATCTCGTTTAGAAAGAAATCTCCATACCATATAAAATATTTTTCACATCGCAAGCTCAGTTTAATAGGTGTCATGGAGTGTTCATTATAACACCTGTATACACATTAGCATTCAATAAAAACCGCCATATAAATTTCTACAGACAATAATATTATTCACCTGTTTCACTACGACACGGTAAATGTGTGCGTAGAAAGCAGCGAGCAGCACACTCGGCGTAACGATTGTAGCGAAGTATAAAAAAAGCAAATAGTTGTAGTCCATCACTTCCACGAAGTAGCAACCCGGCGCGGGACCCACGGCCGCGTGCCAACCGAATAACGGGAGCAACCCTACACCTGCTCCCGCCACCCAGCATGCCGATATGATCCCTGAAATACGAACAATATATACATTTATTAAAATATAATAGCCGTGTTGTGATGGCGTAAGAAAATCCAGTTCCCCATAATATTACCCGGGGGTGTCTGCAGAGATGACAGTTTTTTTATTCACTATAGATTATAAATAATACTTATTGAAAGTCACTCTTTTGTTGAATCTGCCATTGGTTCGGAAAAACCTCTGTCCTGGGAAGAACCAGCAAGAACCCAACGGGACTTTAAGAAAAAAACAGCTTACAATCATGAATGTTACACAATTAATCAAAACAAAACAAATTAGAAAAAACTTGGTAGCGATCACCCTTCCCAGGGGTTATTATCATCCATAAATTCCTTAATACTATTATAACCCTTTTTATACAAAACATAGTTTAATGAAATTTTTGAACTTTGAGTAGGTCAAACTCCGTGATAACAAGTCAATAATAGTAAAAAAAGCGTTCGATTAATGCAAATGTCCCCGTATGTATCGTGAGAGCCATATAAAAGATATTATTTTTTTTTCATCAAAATTTCATTTACGTTATGATTTAAAAAAAATGCTCATGAGACGTGCACTTTTGGATTTCCCGAACTTGTTTTTTTTAATAGGATATGGTGACAAACGAGCACACAGTACACCAGTAAGTAGTTGCTGTGGCCCATAGACATCAACATCTATCGTCAATTACAAAGTCAATTACCTTTGAATATTCAACCAACTACTCAAAGTCAATTACGAATCAAAATGCAGATGCGTTGTACCCGTGAGTACTAAGATGGAATGATTCATTTCCAGTAAAAAGGGTCTCCAGTTCTCTACACTCACCATACGAAACACAGCAGTATTAAGCTACTATTTGACGCTGGTATTCTGTGAGAGCGTGATCCTTCCCCGGTCGAGCCGACCCATTCGTGCTACAACTATACTACTAAAATAACCGGAGCCGGAGCATGGCTCTACCACGTAAAAAATCATCTGTCCTGGGAATAACCAATAGGAATTCCAGCTGGAACTTTTTTCCTCGGTAAAATAGGTTAGGTGTTTTTGCAATTTACAAAACTCAAATAAGAAACAACTTGAAAGATATCACTTTATTCCCAGGGGTTATTATCAAACGTGTCATCATTTACATCATACCCTTTGTTTAATTGTATTGTACAAAGTTTATTAATTATTATATCCACTACACATCGAATAAAACTACTTTCACCGCGTTTAAGTTACTTAATTTTAATATCCGATTTTTTGGATTCTTTCCAGCACCGTGATCACGACTCTGAGAACTGAAGTGAATCAGTCTGATAAATCAATCAGCAAATCCATCCGTAAAAACAATCAATTCGTAAAAGTACTTTTATTCAACGCATGCATATAGTTATAACACGCATTGTGCGTAATACATCTCTATGAACAATGTTATGATAAATTAGTAAAAGATTTTTGGAGAGAAATAATATCAGCATAATAAATACTATACAAAGCATGGTATAAATAAAAATAAACGAGATTTAATAGAAAATTAACGAGATTTAAACACGCTTCCCAAATTCTCACCCAATAGGAACAGCACTCATACGACGAAATAATAATAATAATAATAAATTCTTTATTTGCCTCAAATCTTTTAATAATTAAATGGAATTCTGGCTTCTAAACTAGTTGTAATAACTGTATTTTAGAAACCAGTGTCTTCACCCGTTAGTGGTACAATTACAATAGATTCTGGCAACTTAAGAATAATTAGGATTCAGTTAATAATTAACTAACATGCAGTAAATGAAAAACAAGGAATGAGAAAAAATGCGTGGATAGTAGTCGTGTGACGTGCGTGCGTGTGTGTTCAACAACACACTTTTCACGACTCTTTATTAAGGTGAATCCCTGACCAAAATGTTGCGAAAGTGCGTTTTTCAGACTCTATTATCTCATTAGTTATGAAAAATAAACTACATCTAAAAGTACATTATTAATGTTAGATATTTTATCATCGCATTCCACGTTCTAATTTATTTTTATGTGCTATAAATACATTTAAAATCAACTTTTAAAAAATGACTAAAATTCTTGATTACATGCATCTGTTGCTAAACGCAACGCTCTAATCATTTGAGGATAACACTAATGGATAGATAATTAAAAAATCTATATTCTCCACGTTTTATTTAAATTTTTAAGTTCGTTTTTTCTCTTTTAATTGAAATAATTCCGAAAATTGTGTGACTTCTATGATAAAGGGGCGTGCGCAGAGTGCGGGCGGCATTACGCTGTATGCGTTCATTCGAGGTGGCCGCGTCGCTGGTCGCCGCGCGTCCGTATTTTGCCGCAAACATAATATTATTTGAGTACCTACCAACCGATGCGCTTACGTCACGGTATATTGTAACTCGGCCGTATCTTAGAAATAAATATTACAGCCGTGCGGTACGTAAACATGCGATAGGGATGCCTGCCTCCAGCATTTTTACATTTGCCCATTGATTTATGTGTTTTATAACTCAATGCATTTTCCTACTTTGTGTTTCCATTTAGTTTTATGATTGTACTTAAATATAATGTTTTATATAAACAAATATATAATAGGTACTTTGTGAATTGAATAGGAAGTGTTCAATAAAAATGCGTGTCGTTTTATGATTGGTAGATTTAATTAAAAAACCAATGTTTGAATAACAAATCGGTCTTATAAATTTGCGGCCGAAAAATATTTGCGCCTCGGCTGAGACGTACGAAATGCTTTATTATTAAAATTTTAAATATAAAAAAATCCGCATTATAATATAAAGCTTAATTAAATATTGTTTTGGGAAACATGGACAAGTTGGTGTAAAGGAATATCTTTTACTCGGTTATAGATACCTGCAGCTACTTTACAATTTATATGTTTGGTTTTAAATGAAGTTTGGATTTATTATTTTTTTTATTCTATTTTCTGAAAGGGTCCTAGGAAAGGAATTATCACTGCGTGTTGGCGAACTTTGCATGTCTTCGAAATATTTTTTTTTCTTATTTCTCAGACATGCAGGTTTCCTCACAATGTTTTCCTTCACCACTGAGCACGTGGTAAACCAACACTTAAAATTGCAATTACAATATTATTGGTGCCGGCGGGGATCGAACCCGGTTTGCTCGCACACTGTGAAAATTTTAGCAAGCGCTAACCATCTGAGCTACCACGTCTCCTCTCCTCTCGAGCTAGAGACTTTATTTTATTTATCGTCAGGCCTGTTGGTCTAGTGGTTAGTGACCCTGACTGCTATGCTGCAGGTCGTGGGTTCGATTCCCACCCAGGACAAATGTTTGTGTGATGAGCACGATCATTTGTTCTGTGTCTGGGTGTAATTTATCTATAATATTTATGTATTTAGAAATATATAAGTATGTTTATCAGTTGTCTAGTACCCATAACACAAGCTCTGCTTAGCTTGGGACTAGATGGCGTTGTGTGATAGTTGTGGAATATTATTATTATTATATTATTATTATTGGGGTATCTGTATAGTTTCTCATCTGGTTGGTTTTTATAAATATAAATTAAAATGAAAAGATAAATATACATAAATATCAATAAAATAAAATAAATACAAAAAATATACAAATAAATAAAGATCCAACCATATTAAATAAAAAATAGTCTCCTATCTCTCTCTCTATGTTTTGATCTCCTAAAACGAGTTTGAGTTGGTAAAATCAAGGCAAACTTAGGGTAGGGTTGTCAATTATTATTTTGATAATAAAACTAGTGAAATTCCGCGGTTTTATATGCGCAAGCGTGAACGTAGTTAGAACATAATATAACCTTTATGTTTTACATAAATATCCTAAAAAAACTTATTATTTTAATATTTTACTAAGTACCTATAAAATTAACAAGTTTATTGCATTTTTATTTGAGTAATTTTTTATGCAATTTCTTTATCTACGTCTATTTTTAGGAACCTTTATTTAGTCTGAATCATACATAACACTATATTACTGATTTACTTACTTATACGTAGTTTTCTTTTTTTGCAGTTACAAATATCTTGTGAGGTTGAAAAAGGCAGTAATGAAAAAATAATAAGAATAATAATAATTGACGTCAGCCACTTCTTTTCATAAAAATTTCAGATCATGGTCCATTAGGTTGCAGCTTCAGCGAACCACAACTTATAATAATAGTAATAACAGTAATAATATAATATTATTTTGTATTTATTTTATTTTATTGATATTTATGTATATTTATCTTTTCATTTTAATTTATAATTTTTATATATTTAAATATTTATATAACCGAACCAGATGAGAAAATTATACGGCTCCAACGATTTTAGCGACGAACGCTTGGATTTATTTTTAGAAAATGTCCTCTTGTCCATGTTTTCAGGCAATAAAAAAACTGCTACAATATAAGAAGGTAAATTTCGACAAATCATTAACGGTCGTTATAGCTCAGGTGGTATGTCGGTCGGGCGTGATATCGGAGTTCCGTAGTTCGGGTTTTGGCTTTGGTCCCGCTTTTTTTTCCTTTTTTTTTTCAAGTTCTCTTCTTTTGTGATAAAATCTATTATTTCAAACCCTTTTTTTTAGTAATTTTTAAAAATACGAAAATTTTAATTTTAAAAATTTAAAAAATATATCTATTTATTTACTAATGCTATATTTATTATTTTAATAATTACCTACCCAGTAGGTAAATATTAAAATAATAAATGTAGCATTATAAAAAGTAAATCTCCCTCAAACTCAATTTACTAATATTGTTCCTAAATAAGGAATAGCAGATAAAAGATTAGTAGGTAATAACTATTGCTCCTCAAAATTATATTTGACCTCAAGGTAAAACGTATCCTAAAATTCAGTAGCAAAATCAGAAAAAATAATAATAACTACTATTCAAGTATATTTTCAATATGTAAGTAAATGAAAATAACAAAAATGAAGCACCATTAGCATGTAAAGTTCGAATCCATAATTAATATTTCGACAAATATTATAATTTACACTATAAAAAGCTAATTCAATA